CAATATCTTGCACACTCAAGTGTTCTACTCCTAACTCATTCCTAACTTCAGAGACCGTGTCATAGAACAATTTGGAAAACAATTGAGGGTGTTAATGAACTTGAGTATGGAACTACGTCTGAATCAAATGCCATGACTCTTCGCCCCAACCAAGTAAAGTTGCAATAGCCCGAAAACAATAATTTCCATCATCACCCACATCAATAATGTTATCAATGTATGGATGTAAGAAATCGAAAAACTGAGACAAGTAAAGATGTCTCGAAGATGCAATAGACAGTTGACTTCTACCCGACATACTTGACGGTTAACTTACAGTTGATTTCATGCATGATTTCTTTGTAGTCTGACTCCCATGAGGGCCCTCGTCATGCTCTTACTATGAATTATCACGATGCACAACACTCTCTTACTGTGAACACATAGAAGTTGTGGATGGGTGTGTTAGTTCCCAAACCTTTTTTTTTCGACACCCTTTGGCCTACAATATCCAAAGTACTGAAATATATCTTTAACTCTTCACACTCTGCATCTAAATCCAATTGTGCATCACTTTCTTCATGACTAGCATCATGTTATTCAATGTGTAATTTCTTCCAAAAAACATGAATTGGTTCTAAAGGAACATGATTGCCTTGTATTTGGAAACCGACAAGTTAACACGCATTGGGTAACCCATGTGTTGTTCTAATGAAGCAACCACAAGCATTTTGGCTTGCACCAAAAAAATTTATCCTTTCTAGTTCGTTTTCAATGTGTTATATACATTGTCTTGAAACAAAACTGAAAATTTTGGCAAGCACACGATGGATGTTATTCCCAAGGTTATAATATCCACTGTGACATCTATTACTTAACAGCTAATACTCAGCAATAATCAAAGCAGTAAATAACACAGCAATTGTTTACCCAGTTCAGTGTCAACAGCACTTACATTTGGGGGCTACCAAGCCAGGGAGGAAATTCACTATTAGTAAAATTAATTCAGAGTTAAACCTCCAGTTTACACTCCTCACTTAATCTCTACCCAATGACACTTCAACCTAGAGACACTCTAGACCTGAGTATACCCACTCACTCCCCCTCAATCACACAACAGTGATATTAAACAAATACATAAGACAATATGAAGAGACACTTCATACACACCTTGATCTTGTTTCACAGCTTTGATCAAGGAATTCACACACTCTTGCTTCAAAGCATTGAGTGAGACACAACCTAGAATCTATCTATCCAATGCAAATCATCCACCAGACAATTGCTTGGATTACAAGTATTCCTAGACAGAATTCACACGTGAAGACTAGCCTTCTTCACTTACAAGGACTCTGCAATTTGCACTCTATATTCTTCTTCTGTCAAGTGCTGCTCTTCAGGATTGCATCTTCTGATCTTTATAGCAGCTGTCAGTCTTTTTGGGCCTTGGTGCATTAATTAGGTTTTATCCTTATCAAAACTTATTCTCAAAGATCTGCACACTTGTCACTTAATTCAGGGATCTTTTAGTTCGCCTAGGGCTTCTAGAAAGTCTCCTGATATCCAGCTTGAGCATTTATTATGTTTCCTAGTTTATAGATACCAAAAAAACAACCTTGCCCGCTGGATGTCATACGTTCAATGTTATGACATTCTGTATGACATTCAGCTTAACTAAGTTAACTTATAGTTAACTTACCCTGCACACACATCATTAAGTATGTCCTAACATTTATTATGACATACATGCACACTCTAAAGTTTTGCCACAAAATGCAGTCAATCAAGAGCACTTACAAAAACCATGCAAGTTGGTATAGAATGGACTGTTATACCGATGCTTAATGTTGATAATACTTTGTTGAAACGAGACCCTAATTAAACCTAGTTGCAACTTTAACATGGTATTCACAACATCCCAACTTTGGCATATATCTTCCCGGCTTATAGTCAACATGTTTTTTAGTCTCCAATGAGCAAACTTCACCCTAAAAACCATAATTATAAATATATGTTAAAATAACGCCTGTGTACCTGTTCGTTGTTGTGTTCCCTAAATGAGTGACTCTATTAGTCCAAGCAGCAACAAAATGTTATTTATAAGGTGTCAACCATGTTTCTTTCACATACTTAACAAATAATGGAATATCGGCACAAACAGTCTCAAAGTTCTTCAAGTGTTCGTCAAACTCAGATTCTCTATTAACATATGTGATGTTGTTCCAAAGATCCATGACATGTTTTTGCCTTACTGATTTAACATACTATTTACATTTCATTCTAATCTTTTTTAAAATATGGAACGAACACAACAGATGAGTTGAATTTGGAAACACAACTTCCATGGCATTCATCAACCCAAGTTCTCGGTCTGTCACCACAATCTTTGGTAGCAAAATCTCAAAAGAGAACAACTCTTTGAACTTCTCTAGTGTCCATTTAAAGTTCTCCTTCCTTTCATGTTCCAAATAGGCAAAGTCTACCAAAAACGTCAACAAACACCAACAATCTCAAGCAGTGATAGTCGTTACCTGCATGATCACGATGCATATAATCAAAAATTTGATAAATCAAAGTATGTCAAAAAGATATCAAAAATCAACATATGGCCATTACTTATTTGTCTTGTATGTACAATAAAAAATCAACATCAAATAAAATATATTCAACAATTTCGCTGAATCAGTATGTGTTCAAAAGATATCAGTAACAACATTTGAATCTTCCTTATTTCTAGTCTAACACATGTACTTTTTCTATAAATAAGACTCAACAACATTTGCATTTACGTCAATGGATCTCTCTTGTTTGCATTGTATGTAGCACTAGCTTTATACACCTGGGTAACACTTATGAGTTTTTCTGGATCTTTGTCTTTCAAAGCAGTAACAATGTACTATGGAGCCATGTTGTACTTCGTCATGTCATTCACAATCTGTCTTTCATGAACTTTTAGACGATCTAATAGGTCATGACCTTCTAAATCCTTAGATAGTTTATGATTGTGCAACTGACACCTAACTAGCACCTTCAAACCACTTCCACTAGGCACATATATCATCTTAAAAGGACATTTCACTTTCATACTATAAATTCCTTATGAGGATTTATTGCTTTCAGATGCATTCTTCCTGTTCTAGACTGGGCTAGTAGTTGCCCCACAGTCGGGTAGGCCCAACCCAATACTACATTAGAGAAACCTAGCAAGGCCTAATCCTCCGTCTTGTCGAGCTTACACTCTGCATTCGGGCAGATCACTACCTAGCACGGGGAGGACTCATGCGTCTCCCCCACGTTCTCCATGTGTTTCCGACGCGGGGACACGTTATCAGGAAACTACCCGTGTCCTAAAGAACCGGTCTTCCACCTTCCGAGAATCACGGGGCAGTTGGACCAGGGTGAAGACCACGTGCAGATCTTCTCTACACCATGTAGACTCTTGCAGTTACTTGTGTTGGACCTTGCAATCTAGCCCAATGCAAAGTGATCGTTGATCCAACGCTGGGGGCACATTATAAATACCCTTTTTCACAATAGGGTTAGGTATTTTGAGTTCTACACCTTCTTTCTGTACTTAGTCTCTCTTACTCTGTTTCTCACTTTAACATCGGAGTACCTTGCAGGTACACCCCCATCCTCTTCTCCAACACCGATGAACAAAAGAGCTCACGACGCGTGGCTGGCTGCTGATCCATTTCTGATCCGGTAAGATCACTTTCTTTTATAGTTTTCTCCTCTCTCACAATCCATAATCAATTTTTCTTTCTTGTCTAGCTTCCCATTTGTAGTATCACAACAAACAGTCACAATAATAGTACCATGTTGTTTACCAATAATTTGTGCACATGTTAATACTTCAAATCGAGACTCTAATATCTGTCATTTACATTATATAAAAATTATACTATCAATATCATATAGAGACGGGAAATATTTTGTTACATAGTAAACATATTACTTCAGTGGTGAAGAATTGTGTAAAATCTATACACGAATATGTAAAAAATCATGTCGGCTTTGGACCACAAAAATAAAATATTTTTCTACTTTCTGCACTACTGCTATTGAAAATTTGGAGTATGAGCAAAAATTTTGGTATATCAGAAAACTTTGAAATTTTCGATATTCTAAAAATTTTTGTAATTTTTCCAAAAAATTTAATAATTTTTTACATGAATTTAAGAATTTAGAAAAAAAAATTTTAAAATTTTCAATATTTCATCGTCAAAAATTTACAAAATTTATCAAAATCCGTCGTAAACTCTTTCGGGTTTTCTTTAATTATTTAATTTGTTTTTCCAATGTCTCTTCCCCTCTCCTTTATTGAGCGCAAGAATTTGATTCCAACGCGATTCCACAAAATCACAATGCAATTCACAATTTAGAGAGTTCTTTAATATAAATCAACAATTAAATGAGCGTTTCTTTAAAAACTATTCAATAAATATATTGTTCTGTTTAAAGAAAGGCTATAATCATGTATCTTTTGAAAATATTTCAACTTTATGCCCTGTTTTTATTTTACGTGATTGATTTATCTATTTCTGCCATGATAGAGTTTTGTTGTAAAATAAATGAGCTTCCTTTTGTCAGAATATACATTTGTAACCTCTATTGAATCTTCTACTTTCATATCAACTTCGAATTTACATGCGTATCAAAATATATTTTATTTTGTATCAAATAAATTACTTACTAGTTAACAGTAACAATAAACCATGACAGGTAGCTAGTGTTTTATATTATTGAACTATGAAAGGAAAATTGTATATGCGAATATGTCTACAATACATTTGTACATTTGTTCTTATTTATAGTTTCCTAAAAATAAATCATTAAAAAAAATTAAGTGGATAAGAGAAGATAGAACAAAACAAAAATTAGAGGGAAAAAACAGAAAAATGAAATTACATTAATAACCCTGTATGCAGGGTGACAAATAAAAACTATGGCACACATCTTCAATACAAATTTGTGAAATTCCTTCTAACTTGTGTGACTCTCCCTTCAATATTTTTTTGTCAATGGCTTGTTGCTAGAGCAGTAACCAACAGACCAAGAACCAAAAACGGTTGTGCACTAGCCTGTCAACATCGGAACGTTACGGTTACTCAATAAACTTGTCATGTAACACTGCGATATGCGGATATATAAAGCTTATTGATTAGATGATGAAATTTTAGAGGTTATTGTATACCTGATATTTAACATCGTATTTCACAGGGTCCTTGAGGAAATACTTGAACTGCAAGGCACAAGACGATAACTCGATAAATAAAAACAGTTTGGCATGTTCGTAGCTATGTTGCATGATTTGAAAATAATTTCTTAACATTGCGATTTGCGAGTGTAGTTGTGTAATTTACCTGAAATATGACTTGCGGAGCTATTAAGGCAAGTAGAGCCAATGCGTAATACGGTTTACCAGCCCCGAGTAGATATCCTGCAACCATATTATAGGTAAAGACAATTCAAAATATTAAAAACTACATGATGGAGTTTCACTAGCAAGTAGGAACTATTAGTTATAAGCTTAAGATGTATGAAGATTGATTTCATATATTTGAGGGAACAAAATGTACCTGCGACAGATAATTGTGTAATGTCGATAGCGCCAACACATATCCACTTTGCAGTTTCCTCACCAAAAGCGACGGGAAGAGACTAATCAAACAAGATTGTCGATAAAAAAGTTAGTAGCAACTACTTGGATGAATGAAAATGTTCAGATTAGATAGTGACGTAGTCGACCTGAAGTCCTAGAGCTCTATCTCCTTCAACACTTTTGAAATCATTTACAATGGCAATTCCCAACTGCAACGTATTACAGAAAGTCAAGTGACCAAAATAAGGTAATGTTTGATATATTATCATATCCGACAAAATGTGATGAAGAATATACGACATACGCCAGCTATGCTGTAAAGGAGTGTGAGAACAATAATGTCTGGTGTAAGAGTCCCAAACAAAGCTTGACCAGCCCACCTAATTGAAAATGAAATCAATGAATCAACAAAAACCAAATGTTCCAAGCAAGGCATTGTTGTCAATGGCAGATGTAGGTCCAATGCAGAGAGCCAAAATCCCGTCATACCACGCGCTTTGAGGCGCAGTCACAGTGGATTATGGCAGAAAAACCCAGCACCGATATCCGCCATGGCACCTCCATGGCTGATATTCAATAACACCGTAAGAAGAATTTAAACATATAGCAAATAGTTATCGAAGTAGAAGATACCACACCATGGCAAACTAATGTAACTTGCTCCAAGGGCAAAGTTTCCAATCCATCCATTTTGTTTTAACTAGAAAGCATGCATAACATAGTCAAGGACCATCAAAGGCAAAAGAAGCAAAAATATATAAAAATGAGAAATTTTTTAAAATAACTACCTTTAAAGGAGGTGCGGAATATATATACGACAGCAGGGATCCACCCAACGCAAGGTAAAAAAGTATAGGGGAATCATGCCCTGCCTGTAAAGGAGAAGAATTTAGCAACCGATCTTCTGATCATTTGCATTGAGACAGATCCTGTAATTTTTAAATGTAGTACCCACCCATATATCCAATATACCCGCCGAAGTAAGACCTCCAAGTAGCAGCACCCATATTTGAGTGATTACCTGCAGATTTTTTAGCAAAAAGATGAGAAAAGAAACAAGTAACGAAAGGAAAAGACATAAGTTTCGGATTTACAAGATACCTCATTCTCGGATATTGCACCAGAAGGAATTGGTCTATAAGGTTCATTTATTGCATCAATTTCTCGGTCATACCAATCATTCAGAGTCTATAAAATTTAGAGACCAAAAATTCAATGTCACACGTCAGTATTGTACATTTGTACTCCCATCTAATGGGGGTTCCATAAAAATTTATATCAGCAACAAAAAGATTACCTGTGTATATCCTGTCAGGAATGGACCAGACATCATCATGCACAAAATTGATTTAGCAACATCCTCAAAGTCCCAATGGAAATTTCCTAACAAATAACATTCACATATAAATCTATACCATGAAGATGAAGCAATGAATAAAAACTTTGAAAATGAATGTTTCTAAACAATTGTCGTAGTTAATCGCAGGACTAAACATTTTCTGACATGCATGTTATGCAGAAGTTTAGTACCAGAAGCAGCAGCACCACAAACTACACCCCAAACTAATGGTGGCCAAGTTACAGGCTTTGTAAGTTGAAGACGAATCTTCCATATATTCTGCACAATACATTACAAAGATGAATTATCAAATACAAATATTTTTCAATACATTACACAGATGAATTATCAAATACAAATATTTTTCAAAAGCTGAAATTTAGCTTTACGGTATTACTTTACTATGCAAATAAAGCATTAAATTTTAAATTTTGAAAAGGGCTTGCTGTTGTAACGTAAAGCCAAAGTTTTACTTTCTGAGTTACTGTGCTTCTAAATACCGCGTGAAATTCTCAATAATGTAAATGGAAATAAGAACAAATTCATAGACATTGATGGATTGCAAAAGATATTAGTTCAGATTAGTATACAATGTAGTCTAGCAAGCAGATTAGTATTACTATACTCTTTTTGGTTCGTGCTTGTTCATCATCAAGAAAGAACAGGAATTTGCCAAAGATCGTTAATTAAAAGTCGTCTATTAGGGAAATTTTAACCGGTTTATCATGTGACATAGTTTCTAGACATCAAAACATATTTAAAATTTCTAATGTTTTTCCAGGCCCGAATTTGACAAATTGATAGGCCCAATAAGTACGGACAGTGGAAGAAAGAGAAGTGGAAGGGAAAATATGTATTTGGATGGAAGAAAAGAGAGGGGGAAATAAAAGAAAATACTAGGTGGCAAATCGGGAGAGGGGAAGAAGATTCTAGAATGGGGAATGACGAACGAAATGTGGGATGTGTGCAACTAAGGGGTAGCAAAAAATTAGTTAAGGGAAAATGAGGCTAGGTTGAATACAGAAGTAGGTTTTTCTTGTTCCTCAAGAAAAGGGTTTTTTATTGCTATTATCCTTGTTGAAATATGAGAGTGGCTTGTATTTCATGTAAGTTAACCTCCTTATAAGCACATGTTCAGACTATATATGTCAGATGTGAGACTCTTAACACACCTCCTCACGCCCAGGAATGGACACCAGATCTTAAACGAGACTCTTGATACCATGTTGAAATACAAGAGTGAGACATTTGAATAAAAACGTGTCTCTGGATACTACGGAAGTTGTATTATATAGTGAAATATACAACTCGTCGTATTAATTTAATAAGAAATATGCTACGGTATATTCTATCCTATTCTATTCTATTCTGGATAGGCTAAAAAATATTCTATAGAATATTCTATATACAAATATCAACAATCCTTTTAGTTTACCACTTCTGCAATGAGTATAACTCCACCCATTGACTCTTTTATTGTTCTTACATGTGTATCCATTGTAACAGGGAATTATTCCCTGTTGCATATTGATTTAGTATTGCCTTTTGGGTTTTTTTAAAATATTGAACTACAGTCATTTTAGGAATGTTGGACGAAAATTATGATTATGCTGTAGACCAGTTCAATTGATTGTGTGAGGAAGTTTACTCGTAAACTAGTTCTAGAGAGTTTGTACAAATATGAAAGGGGCTCGGAAGTTCTGTTTCTCAAAACTACAGCTTAGACCTGCAAAACTTGATGAAATCAGAGGCTTGTGAGAATGTTGATGCAGGAAACTCAAACCTGTCTGAACTCTAAATATCAATTTTCAACTCTAAACATCAGAGGTGTACTCGGGTGCAGATTCGGTTGGATTAGTGGTAGATATACGATCTACTAAGGGCTCCAGGTATATGAAATCAACTTATTAGTTATATAATCCATAAACTGTTTTCAGCTTATTTCCACAAGCTCTCCAGAGTACAGACTGACTAATGAAAGCAGCTTGTAGCTTATATGAAAATTGTTTAATTTATTTTATCATTGATTACAGAAATTATACAGAAGCACTTAATTAATTTGTTGTCCAAACTCCAAACAGGGCCAAAGTCTGATTATGAGCATTTCAAACATCCATCCACAACGAAAATTGAAAACAAAATTTCAAATCCAAATCAGAGAATGTAAAAAAATTGCAATAAGGTTGAGATCAACTCACTGATTCTTGAGAAGCTCCTTTAATACCAAGAAGCTGATTGAAGCTTGATCCATTTTTAGCAGGCGCCGTATCCGGTGCCTCAGATTTAACTTCTCAAACACCCAAAAAAAATTCTAAATATAAACACAAAACATAATGAAATATGAACAACAATATAAAACCACAAAACCCAACAAACAAAAACCTTCATTTGCATCAGTTTCAGCTGCTCTAACGGTTAATCTTCTCTCTGCAATGTCAACATAAACACCAAAATTTAATTTTCAGACAACACACAAAAAACATTAAAAAAATCATAACTTTAACCATGTTGGTAGCTAAGAAACTAAGCAGATGCATGATTGGTTAGCACATTTAAAATGATAATTGAAAAGAAATCTCAAAAGGGTGTTTTACGCACACAACAACTCACTCTGTGAGTAACTAAAAAGAGTTTTTTTTTTTTGAGTCAACGTACTAGGAAATGAGACAGAAAACGGTGGCAAAGTTGGTCGTGTTTGAAGTGAAGAGGTTCTTGTTGTTGTTGTTGTGGGTGTGAATATTCTTGGTGAAACTGAAACCATGTTAATAAGTGAAGCCATTGAAGACAACGAGCTTCGAGATGCCACAAACTGAAGAAGCTAGTGTTATCGATGTTGTTGGTTGGAGTGATAAACTTTTTTTAATGTAAAATAAATGTTTTTCATGTAGGGCTCGAACCGGTTATATACGAACCGGGTTTTATTTGGTCCGGTTTTATTTGATTTTTTTATCAAATAATTTAATTATAAATGAAATGTTGTATTTCAAACCTACAATTCTTCGAAAATAAATAATTGAGATGTTACATATTTAAACCCAGATCTCTGTATTAATCTTTTACAACTGATTTAACGAAACAATTATTAACCTATAATTAAATTGGAAGTAGCAATTTTTTTCTACCAAATATCATTCTAAGAATATATAGGTTCATCGTCCACTTTCTCAACTAACAATATGTCTCTCTACTAAAAAAAAATCTAATTTTTAATTTATTTTGTTTTTTAAATATATACTTTTATTAATGATACAAATTTATTTTGTCTTTTAAGATATATATTTTTCCAGTCGACAAACAGCAGTGACTGCATTAATTTAATTATTCTTTTCCGGCTGTAGTTAATAATTTATCATATATTCTTTTGATGCGTAATAAATTATTATAATGCGTCAAGCACTAATAAAAAAGAATAGTACATCATATGGCAGACTAACTAGTGGTACATGGCTGCATTAATTTTTTGCTAGGTGTGAACGTGAACCAAGATAAAATCGTGACATTTTGATGTACTGTCCTAAGACAAAGCATTGAAATTTGATTCTAAACTGATATTTTTTTTTTATAATAACTAATTATTTAAAAAAAATTAATTAAATTAAGAATTGAAAATAATTATCCAGTGACTAGGTTTCAACTTTGAGTCGTCAATCACTCTGTCCATTTCACATGTATTCGTCATTTGGACTGACGATTTTGTCCATCATTTTAAATAGATTCGTCAATTGGATTGGCTGTCCATTTTTTTTTAGAGTTTGCGCATTTTCTTTTCTATTTTGTTTTATTTTTGTAATTTTTTTAATATTTTTTTTTATTTTTGATACTTGATATTATATTTTTTCTTTTTCATATTTAATTTAAATAATATGAAAAAAATAAATAGAATAAATAGTAAATTAATTTTTTGTTTTTCATAATTAATTGAAATTTAAATAATATAAAAAAAAATAAATGAAATAAATATTAAATTATATTTTTTATTTTTCATAATTAATTGAAATTTAAATAATCTAAAAATAAATAAATGAAATAAATATTAAAATATATTAATTTACAATAGAATATAAATTACAATTGATAAAAAAAACTAATGGTCGGCTCTATCTAAACGATCACTGGTGCCACATTGTGGAGGATGCGTGCGGCGACGAGGTCTACCACAAGGTTGCTGAGGTGTGTTCGGTCTTTGGGTGTTGAGTTGTGGAAGAGGTATTTGTTGGGACGGCCCCGGCGTATCAGATAAATTTTGAAGCATTTGACCTCAATAGCCGGGAGGTCCACTATCAATGGCGCTTCCATGGTTAAGCCCAATGCCCATGTGTTCATAGGATTGTCGGGGAGGTTGGGTGGAGTATGGACGGTATGGTTGTCTGAATTTGTACATCGAATCAGGTTGGAAATAATGTGTTGGTTGTTGTGGGATTTGGTAGTCAAACAGTGGATAGGTGGATGGGGTATGGTCAAATAAGTTATCTGGGCTATAGGTGGAGGGGTAGGGTCAAAAGACGTATCAGGTCTATATTGGTATGGTTGTTGATGTTGTGATTGGGTTGGTAGCATGTGTTGCACCCCAAAATTTGACCAACCTTTTTCTTAATATTTGGCTTATGTTTCGTTGCATTTTAGCAGTTTTGCATTTGCATAGCATAGTTCTTACATGGGATCAAGTGATTGTTTGTGTATCATCCAAGAGGAGAGCCTTATTGACCACAAGCTCAAGCAGAGGCATTGGCAGAGGTTGTTGTGTGTATGTCATCATCATGAATATATCTGAACTCCTAGAGAGGAGGGGTGTGCCACAACATTATCAAAGAACCATCAAAAGGTTGTCAAGGGGTCCATGAAGATTTACCATTGGTGTGATCATGAGGTAGAGGCTTGTTGAGTATCTCAGAGGTCATTGTGAAATGGGAATGGTCACTCAGTTCATCTACATAATGCTTATGCAAGAAGGAGGAAATTAGGGTTTCACTTTTAATCAGGATAAACTTTCTTTTTGAAGTAAAATTTGTTCCCATGGTCTTCCGTATGTCCTAAGGTGTTTGGGGATGGGAGATTGACCATCAATTTTAATCAGAAGAGCTTCAATTGATCAGTTGATTGAAAATCGGGAGATTTGAAGAAAAGGTCAACTGTGCAGTGAAAAAGTCAACTCCTGACTTTTTGAGGTCAAGATCATGATCCTTAATTTCAATGTGACCAATGGATGGAATTTGATCAAGAAAAGTCAAGGGAATCATGAAAAATCAAGAGTGGTTGAAAATTGCTATTTTGGGATTTAGGGTTTTAGAAACTTTCTATTTATGGAAAGTTTCATATGTAAAGCATCCATCTTCAAGGCCATTTTTCTCCATGATCAAGGTTTCAAATGGACTTGGATCAAACATGAAAGTTGTAGAGTGTATTTCAAGCTTTCCAAAAAAGTCCAAGAAGTCTTCCATATGATACTTGGAGCTCAAGTTATGGAGGTTCAAAGTTGGGAAAAAAATAGTCCAAAATTCATAACTTAGAATTTTTCTAAGTTACCTCTAGGCAGATTTTCATGTCATGGTTTTTATGCCTATTTTTCATGAGTTATGGTCTTCACAAGTAGGGTTTTCAAGTTGGCAAGTGTGGAAACTTAGTGAAATTTCACTAAGTATGGAGAATATCTTTTATGGACAGATTTTCAAGTGAACTTTTCATACCATTCTTGGCTTTGTATCAAATTCATCTCAACATGAAAGTTGTTCATGGATATGCAATCTTCATTTTTTGTTCAAACATCACTTCATTTACTTGAGTATTCATTCACTTATGGTGGTTTGAAGTGAGCTTCTCGGAATTTTGCAAAATGCCATCCATGAAGCATTTTGGTTACCACTTCTTGCAGCACACAAACCACACGTGATGTGTATTCCTTGGGTATTCTTTGTGTCCCAAACATTACCTAAACAAGAGAAACCAAGCTTGTACCATTTATGTATGCATTTTTAATCTTTTGCCCTAAAAGGAAGAGACAAGCCACCCTCTTTCTGTCCACTATACAGTCCATCCAGCTTGTTCCCTCCACTGCAGAAAACAATAAGAAAACAAGCATGCTTGTGTGCTGCCCCTTGATCCACCATTTGATTCAAAAACCTTGAACATGTAGCATCTGATCCATCCATCTTTTACCACTGTTAAACTCTCTTTTTTATACTTTCTCACTTGGTATTTAAGCTAACTAGCAGCTGAGCAAAACCCTAGCCTCCATTATTGCAAGAGAAACCAGAGTTTGTGAACCATTTTCAAATCTTCCAAAACCTAAAAAAACTGCATACCAGCAGCCCCTTCAACCATCCAATCACCTCAAAAAATCATCCACACAACCCACAAATGACCTTTGGAAGGCGTTCAAACCTTTAAACTAGTCCAAAGCTCCATATATAAAAAAAGTCACTTGTTGTTGGGAAGAAAAAAAAAAGCTCAAGGGAGGATATTGCTCTTGCTGCTAGCCTGCTCAGGAAGGTCTACAAGAGGTCAGCATTCCTAAACTTTCCATTGCATATACATAGGTATCATTAAGGCATGGTTGAATCTGTCTGTGTTTGCATTCTTGAAGTTTTTTAACTTTCAGTCAAAGTGTTACTTTATTATTGCGATGACAAGCCTACTATTATTGGATGTACAATATTGCTATGTTGATTTGTAAGTTGTTTGTGTGAGAAATATATATTGAGTTAAGTTGTTTGTTTGTTGCTCAACATTATCATGTTTAAGCTTGCCTTTGTCTTGTATTCAGTTCTGTGTTCGGTTTGTTCACACTTGCTGTCTTGCTATCTTGAGGCTGTGACTTTCTCTTTTGGTTAGGAGATTGTTACTATAGGGGTGTTTGAGTGCTTGACAGTTTGGATTTTGTTGACTTGAGGTTAGATATTGTGCTTGTTGTCCATGGTGTTTTTAGGGTTCGCAACTGTTTTTGAAACCTGAGTTTGTCAACTCATGATTGTTGGTTGTTTAAGGTTGTTGTTCATACTAAAATTGGGTTTATGCTTGCTGTCATAAGAAGGTAGTCATGTTATTTTACATTAGTTGCTTCCAGGATGTGGTTTGTACACTAGAATCTTGCATTAAGGCTGTTAGTTTAGTTGTTGTTTTGGATTTTGTTAAGGCTGCTGCTGGATTTGTGTGTGAGCTTTTAAGTTTACATTGACATGTTTGGAGTTTGTTGACTCTTTTGGTTGGGGTATTTCACTGCTGTTTTGGTTCTTGCCTAGTTTTAGGTAGGTTCCTTTAGAACTTTGGGGCAGGGTGTAAGCTCTAGTTTGTTTCATTTGGAGTTGAAGCTTAGTATGTTGAGTTGTGTTCATGACTGTTGCTAGAGCAGAGTTGGTTAACTCATAGCCGATGGTAAAGGTAATTTCACATGATGAGGGATTGGACTTTGTTTTGGTTTTCCATCTGGGAGTTCTAGTTTGATGGATTGACTTGCTTTTGACTTACTTAAGTTATGACTTTGATGACAGTTAGTTGCTTTCCAAGGATGAGTTTGTCAACTCACTCCTATCTACTACCAGGTTTAGGGATTAGTTTTGGGTTTTGATTGTCATTAGAAGTGGAGGACTAGTTTCCTTCTGTCATTAAGAGTGTGGGGGGGGGGGGGGGGGGGGGGAAGGTTGACCATTGCAGTCAGTTTCCTACAGTTTGGCAAGTCTGATTGGGGGCTTCAGGGTGGTTAGTTCTTTAGAACCAGGTTTTTTCTTGGTTTAGTTTGTTGAAGCTCAGTTTAGGTTCTATGCAGAACCATTGGTTGTTGTTGGC